AATCCTGTGGAAGAAGTGGAATCTCTCGAAGATTCAGCGAACGAGGAAGAAGCCAATGTTACTATAACAACCAAAGCTACTTCCAAGAATACATCAAAGGCTACTCCGAAGCAAACCGTAATCTTTGGAAACCGTAAAGACAGCTCCGATACATCTACGAATGGTTTCAGATGAGTTCGAAGAAGAGTCGAAAAGAAAATCTTGTGGAAGAAGTGGAATCTCTCGAGGATTCAGCGAACGAGGAAGAAGCCAATGTAACTGTAACAACCAAGGTTACTTCCAAGAATACACCGAAGGCTACTCCCAAGCAAATCGTAATCATTAGAAGCTCTAAAGGAAGCTTCGGTACATTCCCAAGTACTTTCAGATGAGTTCGAATGCTATAACGAATTCAGTGGAGGAAATGGAATCTCTCAAAGATTCAGCGAACGAGGAAGTAACCAATGTTACCGTAAAATCCAGGGGTAGACCTAAGAACACACCGAAAACTCCTGTCCAGCCAACCGTAATCTCTGAGAGCTCTGATTCTGTACATCTACAAGTACTTTTAGATGAGTTCAAAGAAACGCTCAATGAATAGTTTTGCGGAAGAGACGGATTCTTCAGAAGATTCAGCGAACGAGGAAGAAGTGAATGAGTTGGTAAAAACCAAGGGTGGACCCAAGTACACACCGAAGGCTCCTCTCAAACCAACCGTAAATTTTGTGAGCTCTGACACCGTACATCTACGAGTGGTTTCAGATGAGTTCAAAGAAACGCTCAATGAATAGTTTTACGGAAGAGACGGATTCTTCAGAAGATTCAGCGAACGAGGAAGAAGCCAATGTAACTGTCATAAGCAAGGCTACTTCCAAGAACACACCGAAGGCTACTCTCAAGCAAATCGTAATCATTGAGAGCTCCAAAGGAAACTTCCGTACATTTCGAAGTGTTTTCAGATGAGTTCGAATGCCATAGCGAATCCAGTGGAGGAAATGGAAACTCTCGAAGATTCAGCGAACGAGGAAGCAACCAATCTTCCCGCAAAATCCAGGGGTAGACCTAAGAACACACCGAAAACTCCTGTCCAGCCAACCGTAATCTTTGAAAGCTCGGACTCCGTACATCTACAAGTGGTTTCAGAAAAGCTCGAACAAACTCGTAATAAATACTTCTGCGGATGAAGTGGATTCTCTCGAAGATTCAGCGAACGAGGAAGCAACCAATCTTCCCGTAAAATCCAGGGGTAGACCTAAGAACACACCGAAAACTCCTCTCCAGCCAACCGTAATCTCTGAGAGCTCTGATTCTGTACATCTACAAGTACTTTCAGATGAGTTCAAGTCCCAT